AAATTATCAGCCTTAGCCAGGCTCGGTGGCTCAGCTTGTAATCCCGTGCCTTAGGAGGCTGAGGTGAGTGGATTGCCTGAGCCTGCGGGTTCGAGACCCACCTGGGCAACTTGGTGAGACCTCATCTCTACAACAAATCAACAAATTAGCTGGGTGTGGTAGCACGCGCCTGTAGTTCCAGCTACTTGGAAGGCTGAGGCAGAAGGCTCGCCGGAGCCCAGAAGGTCGAGGCTGTGGTGGCCGGGAGCAGCCACTGCACTCCAGTCTGGGTGACAGAGTGAGACTCCAACTCAAAAAAAAAAAAAAAAAAATTGTCAGCCTTTAGCAGTGTTAGTAACTATATGTGTTCCTTAATATTTAATGATCCTTGCCATTATCAGTAACACAAGCAATTTATGTTAAATTGTGCATTTTAGAAAAGTAATGCCATTTCCAAAGCAGCAAGTTTCTATAACACGTTTACAAATCTGAATAAATCCCAAAATTAGGCCTTCATATGTTAAAACAAAGAGGTATACATATGCCCTCAGAGGTTGGAGAAAAAGAAAATTCCAGCTGCTAAAGAGTCAGAGCAAATGTTCACCCTGGGATTGTTCTTAAGGATGTCTGTTCAAGCTCTGGAAACAATGACTAGTCAGTATTACCCGGTTTGGGTTTGTTCAGGGTCAGATGCTGTATGGTTGACTATATCACTAAAATTCCATATGATTTAGAAATGTCCTACTTTTGCAAAGTAAATACACAGGAAGTACATGCAAATAAACTATCTTCTGCCTTTGGTGATTGGTTGACCTACATCGAATAACTAAGTTTCTTACTTTCTCTAAGGGGAAAACACTGAACAAAGACTAAGGTTTCAGTGAATAAATTTTCATTTAAAATTTGGAATATGTTAAACTGGAATAAAGCAGAGGTCTGCAAAGCTTTTCTCTAAATATTTTACGCTCTGTGGTCCATGGAGTCTTTGGTACAACGATTCTACTCTGCCACAGATGCACAAAAACAGCAAAAGGCAAGAGGTAAACAACTAAGCATGACAGCAGTCCAATGTAACTTTAATTTGGACACAGAAATCTAAATTTCATGTAATTTTCAAGTGCCCTCAAATATATTTCTCTTTGGATATTTTTTCTTTTTCTTTTTTTTTTTTTTTGAGTTAAGAGTTTCACTCCGTCGCCCAGAC